ATTGGGACAAAAATGAATGTAAAACCACAGTTGGCAATGATCTGTATATGGTAATGGTCTACTGTAGTGGGAAATAGTGAGTAACGTACCTAATCAGATTGTGTAAAGGTATGGCCAAAAAGATAGTGGGAGTGATAGTAAAAAGACAAGCACTGCTATGAGTTACGATGGATAGGAAGTTGTAGAGAGTAATGACTGCCTCCTGGAAGGATAGTGCATATAAAAGCACATGTACACACAATTGTCAGCTATTTGTTTCTGAGAACACCTTTTGGCTAGTTCCTTGTTGTAGATGTATGCTCAGCTACACTTGTGTTTCTTTAACACCCACAGGTCAACTTGTGGTCTATACTGTAACTATGTCGTGCAAACCATGGTTCGTTTCAGAGAGTGAACATGAGCGAGTGTGCATGCATAACATGGCCTGATCACCAGTTTGAGCAAGGCCAGTATGCTCAAACCCTGGATCATGGTGATTATGCTATCACTATCATTGATGGCTTTAAACAGGTGGTATACACAACATACACATCTCAAATGAGTTTATTACATTTTGTGCTTGGAGTACAAAATTGCTATCCTTAAAAATTGTTAAAAAAAATAAGGTTATTTCCTATTTGACTGATTTTGAAGAAATGTGTATAATATCTGGTGAAACATGGGAAACTATCAGCAACTTGACAGATGAATAGACTGAGCTGTATGTTAAAATTCCTTGAACTTTTGTGTTTGTAGTCTGTTTTTTTTTAATCTCACCAGAATTGGTTTGTCAGGAAGGTGACTTGATGTTATTGGTATGGGAAAGGAATTTCAGCATGTGGCACTATTGGAAAATGACTGAAAATCATATCATAAGTTAACCCAAGGCTTCTGAATTGGGAAGACAGAACTGTTTGAAAGTCATCAATGATTATGCTAACACAGTAACAAGTCATTGTGACCGAGGGTTTGAGCATACTTGTTCAAACAGCCGATCATGTTATATTATATGCTCATTGGCCATGGTTAAATGTAATTGGCAGAAATGCCCAACAAACAGAATTGACAAAGTTTCCAACAAACAATAACAAAAGAAAGAGGCAAAAATAGTACTAAGCAAACATTACATGCAAGACAAAAGTAGGCAAAGCAACAGTGTAATGGGTCAAAAAAACTCACAAACCAAACTAAGAATGGTGTTAAACACACAAAAAGATATACAAACAAGTGATCACAGCATTCTGACTTCAAGACAAGAAAGAACAAAGTCAGATGAGATTGAGATGTGGTCAGTTTTATTGGTTAGGAAGAAATCCCAGCATGCATTATGTTTTGTCTATAAATTTGAGGAGGAGGATATTTTTAAAAAATCTTGAATACATGAATTGGAACCAACAGGATTTTTTATTTTAATTTTATTTTATCTATTTACTTTTTTTTTTTTTTTTTTTTAGAACTTCTTGTTTACTGATGTCTGGTTTTCGTATGTCCATGCATTGAGAGTGCCTCTCGATTGAGAAAAATACTGGTTTTATATAGCTCTTCCAGTCCCAGACCCACACTGACTATTAGCTAATACCTGCCCAGTATCATTCATATGCAAATAGTCAGCACCAGTTCTACTCTAAGTAGAAGTTTTTCTCTCAACAGCCCATTGTGGAAGGGGATGCAACTCCTAGTTTTTACAGGACCACATACAACCAAATCAGAGTTTTTTATTGTGCTGACCCAATTCTCTGTTACAGACTTTTCAATACACCCTCTTATAAATCTGTATATATTTACATAGGTTTATAAATTTGTTAGGTGTGAATTTTATAACAGTTATTGGTGCATTAAGTGAATGTGGCAAGCCAGGTTTAATTTCTGCTTGATTTGATTTTGTTCACTTTGTGCTACTGGCCTTGGAAAAGGCAAGAATCCATCTTCTTCCAACTATAGGTTAAATTGCACGGCAGACTTGAGGTGACAACCAGTCTAGAAGAAGGAAAATTCTGAATTCAGTACCAGCCAGGAGTAGTCTCTGTCAGACTATCTTACTTGAGATGCACCCACTGCTTCTGTGGCAATTGTACATGTGGCGTCCTGACAACCCTAATGGGTTTTAAGACTCATGACGTGGCAAATATGTTACATTTGCTTGAGCTGCATTTTTTAAAAAAATACACATTATTTGTTGTTTTTTATTTTTGCAAGTAAATAGCTTTGAGTAAGCATGTAAAGATTTAAAAGTTGCCTTGCATGCTTTTAAATCATTCCTGTAAATTCTCTGCAAAAAGATAAGTAATAAGTCTGTTTTGTTACAGATTGTCAGTTCTCTGACATTAATTTATCTTTAGAGTTGAATGCATCTCTACCTATCTTTGGTTACTTGATACTGTTTAATGTCTTCTCTTCATATTTTTTACTCAGTGGTTCTGCATTTGTTGATTAATTTTTTTTTTTTTCATACTCATTTTTTGATTTCTTAGTACTCATTAGTGTTAATGAAGCTATGCAGAACTAATTTGACTGGAGTGATTAGTTGTTGCCAACTTTCAATGTATTTGCTTTGAGGAATTGCTGTTTTAGGCAATTTAGTCTTCTAAGTTATTTGACATTATATAATCTGGTTGGATCTTTTTTTTTTTCAAGGAATGAAGGAAACATAAATCTTTCAAATACATGTTCCACCAGGTGAATTTCTATTCTATAATAATGATCAAGTTAGGTATGAAATTGCACACTTAAAAATAGAAGATACATTGCGCAAAATCACACATACATACATATATATATATGAAACACACACAAAAGGAAAATGAATCTGTTTGCTTCCAACTGCCAGTAAGATATTTGATGGTATGGGGCAGGCAGTGAAGTTTGTTCAATTCTATTTTCGTTAATATTTATTTATGTTATAAATAAGATGTATTTAGACAGCAAGAATTCATTCAAACAAGCTTTGTTAAATTCAATCAACAAGATCTGTTTTTTTTTTATTTTTTTTTTTATTGTTCCAATTTCAAAACAATTTCAACTCCAAGAAACATCTTATATCCAAAGTTAATTATTTTTTGTTTTATTTTTCTGCTTGTCTTTTTTTGTTCAAGTACATTTGACTATTTCAGTCATTATCAAGAAATGGGTATTGTCAGTATGGTAAACAAAAAATATAAAATCTTTTCAAAGTTATATCATATGTAACAGTTAAATGGGAAAACATATACCAAATATTTATAAATGTAGATATGTGGAGTTAATTCTATGTGTTTTTGTTATATATATATATACACACTTACGCACACACAATGTTCTGTTGAAGCATTTGAGGAATCTGTTAGGTAATATCAGTACTCTTGTATAGCAGTGAATCCTTGGTAATCTCATTACAGATGAAGAGACTTGAGGCAAAAGAAATGTTGTTCTCCAGAAGGATGCTGAGAATACTATGGACTGAACATGTGAGGAACGATGAAGTTTTAGAGAAAATGGAAACAGAAAGGATACTTATAATTAACATCAGGAAGAGATAGTTGAAATTTCTCAGGCACATCATGAGGAAAGAGTGCTTGGAAAATTTAGTATTCACAGGACAGATTGAGAGAAAGAAGAAAATGTATAAGCTACCTAGCGAGCTTGAGTAAATTGATAGTGGAGGAAGGGTTAGGAAATACAACAAAAAGACAATAGGCAGGAAATTGTGGAAAACCATGTTTGCCAAAATCCTGAAGTGATATGGCACCTAGAAAAGCATTAAAAAAAAAACAAACCCAAAAACAAAATTAATTTCAGCAATTAAATTACAAAATGAAAAATATCTTTTTTTTTTTTCAATTTCACCCCAATCAAGGCAACGTTGCCCTAGAATGCAAGACGTTACAGGGAGTGAAAAAGAATAAGAATATTGAAAATGGGGATGATTGAAAAAGAAAAAAGGACAAAACAAAACAAAAAGAACAGGGTTCAAGAAGAATGAATATGGCAATTGACATTGCATTTAAATTTTTGAAGATTGTAATTGGCAGGGAAGCAAGAAATCAGAAGGGAGTTCTACTAGTAGGAAGTGCGAGAAAAAAACTGTTAGAGTAGAAGTGGCATTTGTATCTAGCTAGATCAACAGTAAAATGGGAGGACCTATTTGCCAATCTAGTAGCATACTTAAATTCATGTAGTCTGAGCACCAGGAAAATTTTTTAAAGAAAATAAAAGCCGAGCGAATATAATTTTGGCGTACATACCATAGTGTAAATCAAGCTTGCTTTCTAGACTAATCTAGCATTGAAGTGATTTTGGTTGGTTGGTTGGTTGGTTTTTGTTTAGTGACAAATCAACACATCTATGGGCTATTTAATGTTGAAATTTAAATATTTTGCATGCAATTTTTTATTTTATTTTTTGAGATAATAATGATTTAGTAATTCAAATCTTACTAATTAGCCCATAGCTGGGAGGGAAGAAATAGATTCATACCATTTGCAACGGTATTTGCATGTAAGTGAATATAATAAATCTAACTGAAATTAAAACCAGGCTCCCTGATTAACAAATCTGACCTATCAACCATTGTATATTCTGCAAATCCACTCTTACAGCACCCATCTATGTACTGACCAGGCTTGATGTTGCTTAACTTCTCTCTGGTCATATGGGAAATTAGTGTTTCAACATGATGTGGCCTTCAGCCCTAAAGAAGTTGATTTTGCTTTGGGTACTCCTATATTGAGGCCATGTACCAGAGTAATCTAATCTTAAGCGCTTTGCTATAGAGTACAGGATAATAAACTGATCTTGCAAATCATTAAAATTATTGAAAGTTTGGTCCTTATGGATCAATATGAAAATATTTTTACTTACTGGAATCAAGTGTTACGCACTCACTTTTCTGAAAAATTTTCAACTGTGAAAATTTATTTTCTCTAACAGAAACTGGCATCACTCAAACACAATGGATTCTATTTTCATTATTATTTCTACTTTGGTAAAAATATATTTTTTTTTTTTTTCTATAAATATTTTCATGATAATTGCTCTGGTTAGCCTATGGCCACATCATGTTGAAACACTGGTTTCTGTATGATCACCAAAGTCAAGCAACGTTGATCCTAGTCAGTACCTATATGGGTAACTGCTTGGGAATACCAGGAGCTGTAAGCTTGGATGTGTGGGTGGTGTAATGGATAATGGCTCAGAATTGTTAATCAGAGAGCCAAGTTCCAATTACAGTTGAGTTCATTATATTCAATTATGCACAAATATCCTTGGGAAAGGTATGAATCCACTTCTCCCTGATATGGGTTAATTAGTAAGACTTGTATCACTAAACACCTATTCTCACAAACCCATCAGGTAGGTGACCCACTGAATTCTGTTATTCCTTTTACCCACAACATCCCCTGTGAGTATCCAATTCTTCAAGCCTTTCTTCTTCACTATTTGTCCAAGATATTTCCGCTATCTTTTTGATTCAAAGTGTCTTTTTTGTTCCCATTTTCCTTAAGACATTTTTGTTGCTTACACATGGAATTCCCAGCATCCTTTTGTAGAACCACATTTGTGTTGCCTCCACTTTTCTCTTCATCTATGAGGATATTGTCCAGAATTCACTGCATACAAGAGGATTAATTATTATATTTCAGCAAGCATTCATAAAAAAAATATTAATAAAATCTACTATTATCATTGGTACTTTTAGAATAATTCAGATATATTAAAACCAACAAGCCAAAACATAGGTTATCAGTACATGTTTTGCAGGACCTGATTGTATATATGTAAGACAAAAAAATCTTGTGACACTATGGACACCTATGGTGAGAGGGCAAGGTGAGATTTTATTTTCATCTCAAGTGTTTCTGTTTGTTGGCCAACAAATGGGTCCTTTTGAAATTTTGACCAAAGGGGAGTGGAGAAGTGGATGGGGGTTTTGAAGGTCAAGCGACAACAAAATGGACATTGAATGTTTTTAGGTATTGGTCTAACAATCATGCTTGGGATAGAGAGTCAGTTCTGAGCTGTCCTTGGTGGAAGACAGAATTGCGCCATTCTGTGTTCCTGATGCCACTTGTTCATATTGCCAGACACATGTTGGCATGTCTATATGGGTGAGAAATTGGTAGCAGTGAAAAGCTGATCTATGAGATTAACATAGAAGTTGTCTCAAGTGTCACCTCCCTATTTGCTCATGCAATCCTGAATAAAACCTCTAAATATAATATTGAAAATAAGGTTTTCATTTTCATTTCTCATCTTCATTATCTTGGTGTACACCATGTATAAGAACAGAAATATAACATGGGGGAAATCATTGGCCACTTGGTGGAAAGCTTAGGCAAAAGTTGTGGTGTATGTTTACAATCAAAAATTGAATCCTGAGGACACATACTTTCATCTTAGCTACCTTCTGGCCAGTTTGTATTGCTATAGATGATGGATTGTGATAATTATTTTGGCCTTTTTTTTCCCTTTAAAACATTGTTCTTATGACAGATACAATGAAAAGAGATAGGAGTAGACTAGTAAGCAAAAAATTAACTCTTCTCCCACTCAATCTTTCTTTCTCCAATGTCCATAGTATTCATAGTGCAGAATTTTTTTTCTCTTGAAATGTTCTAATATCTTAGCACTTTACAAAACTAATCTAAATTCTTCTACCATTACTTTATTGCCTTGTTTGGGGCGAAATGATTAAAAAAAAAAAAAAAAAATCAGTACTTTGAAATTGAACTTTTCTGTACACTTGAACTTTGTAGATTGATACACTGTTCCTAAGACAATACATACAAGGATGCAAAGCTTATAATATATAAGTAAAACGATGAAATCTACCAAGTTTTACTTGGTTAAAATCGATAGATAGATTAGTTAGCATAGTTTTGCCCCCCTTGTCTTTTTGAGGGGATTGTTTTTATTGAATTGAATGTTGAATTGCTGGTGAATAGCTAAAAGTACATTTATTCAAGATTATTCCCCTTCACATTCTTAACACCACCATGAAATGAAGCTGGTGGGATTGATCATATTCCTTTTTGATTAATGGTTGGTGGTTGCTTTGTAGTTGAAAGGCCGTTTTGATCTTTGCTAAAATAGTTGGCTGAAAGAAAAAAAATCAATGATTACTTCCCTTGGATGATGGAGCCTTTGAGCATAAAAGTATTATTGCCTGTTACAGTCATACGTGCTTGTATGTAGTGACTGCTAGTTGGGTTCTGGAAGTGTTCATTCCGATTTGGAGAGAGCAAATTTGGTTTCTGATTAAATATGGCAAGTTGCCATGACATCAAAGAATTTATTATTTTATTCTTTTATATATTAGCTGAATTTGTTATTGTTTATAAAATATTATTGAACATTGTGCTTACACAGATATTTCTAAAAAAAACAAAACAACAACAAAAAAAAAAAAAAAAAAATTATATATACGCACACACGCACACAATAATATGCAAAAATACAGTAACAAAACATGCACACAAAATGTTTGTATAATCAATACATTTCACTTACTGTATACCTTCTTTTGAAGCCCTCTTCCTGTATATAATTTTGCATTAGAGTGCTCACATAACAAAAAGACAGAGCTTGATGAAAAAAAAAAATTTTTTTTTTTTTGGTATAATAAGCTTTTTTGCATACATTCCATTTTATAGCAAGAAAGGACCATATGCAAAAAATCTTTGATATAGAAGAGATTGTGTGTAGGAAAGTTTATATCAAATATATATTTTGTTGAAGATAACAGATGACTTATGTAAAGTAATTTTCTTTTCTTTAGTCATTTCACCCTATGAAAGGTGATAAAGCCATTAAAATACAAGGGGTTACTGATAGGGAAGGAAGCTAAGAAAGCATTAATGGAGAGAGATAGAGAGAGGATCAAAAGAACAGCATTGAAGGAGAGAGAAATTTTTAATTGATTTTTCTTGACTCATTAATTTAATTATCTTGGTGTTAAAGGCATATAGGAACTTTCCATAATTCTTGTTAGTTTCAATATGGAAATTAATCTGATAAGAAAAAAATTGAAAAATATAATAGATAAAACTGGCTTGTTTACATGAACATTTGCTGCCTAGATACACAGTATAAATATTGTCTAATGTTTAATGCAGATTTTAACATTCTCTCTTTTATATTGTTCCCTGTGTGTGTATATATATTATGGAACAATAAACCATTTGAATGACTCATCCAGTCAGATGCAAATGGCTGCCACAGATATTTCAACTTCCTCTTTAAAACCCAAAATGCACCATTAGAATAGAGCTAACATCCAATCAACTTTGCTTAGTTTTATGGTTAGCACAGTCATTTAAGTACTTTGGTCTTTTTATGGTTTTGGTTTGCTGGCTAGTGTCCACAATTTCTGAACCAGTTGGTATTAAATCAGTACTCTTGTTAAATCAAGTCTTTCTGCATCTTCACAAATTTTTTTTTATATCTCTTGCCAGTATTTACACATTTAATACTAGCTGGTAATTTTATAATTAGGGACACTTTGACCATGTTATCTAGCAAAATCTGTTTGGACAACTATCTTTTGTGTATAGTCTCACTTGATAAGCCACAAAAAAAAAATAATAGCTTGGGGCTTTATTCTGAACATACTGAACTCACAAGTAAGAATAAATGTTCTAAATATGAAAGGAAATTATCAGCAAACTCGCCCACCTCTTGCAGTCCTCATTAGGTGTTTTGGTTGAAAATGCTTCAGTTTCTTAATATCCTCAAAAGATTTCTTATTTGATTTGTGTAATGCATGCATATCCTCAAGAATACTCTATATTTTCTACTGAGCAGAATTATTTTGCTAGACCACACGTAATATTCACTAATGTATATGTATGTATGCATGTGTGTGTGTATAAATCTGTATGCATGCATGTGTGTGTGTGTATATATATATATATATATATATATATATATATATATATAAAAATATAAAAGTGAACATAGAAGTCAACACTTAGAGGTGACAGTCTGTTTCATGCTATATGCAATTGTCAGGCCTGACGATTGCATATAGCATGAAACAGACTTCTATGTTCACTTTTATACACACGCTCTATCTCTGATATTGAGCACTTTATCCCATAAATATAGCACACCTTAAGACTATATTTCTTCATGTATATGTATGTATGTATGTGTGTGTGTGTATATTTTTATATGTGTATGTATGGCTGTATATGTTGGGATCATTCACATGCTTCTTCAAATGGAGCACAATCTCCCATGAATGTTTTTAGCTCTTGTGTCATATCCATCCCTGAGTCCTCTATCTGTATATCTATGAATGTGAGACTTTTTCTCCCTCTTCTTCTTCTTCCTTTACTTGTCTGCCTTGCTGGCAATTTTCATTATCAGACCTGATACAATGTCCATCGAGATGCATCCTTATTTGCTGCACTTGTGATGTTACCGTTAGTAGCTCCCCATATAGTTCAGCATTTGATGTAGTACTTCTCCAGGACACATTAAGTACTATCCTGAGCATTGCTAATGACTCTTAAATTCTGAATATTTATACACTTTCTACCTCAGTCAAGCAGAAGTGGCAGGAAGAAGTATTCGAGATACTATTGGAAGTTTTTCTTTAACTGTTCAACATAATGCTTATCTTTTCTGATAGTGTTGGATAACATAACAGGAATTGGTGAAATGAGTTCAAACTCCAGTCAAGTGTATTAATGTTCACATTTCACGAATGCTCCTGGAGAAGACAGGAATCCAATTGTCTATGTGCTGTTACTCACTTCCAGATATATTAAAATCTTTCCTTATGGATTGATGAAGAAAAGTAGAAAATGTGAACAAATCACTCACTCATATATATACTTTACCTACCAAGCTAATTGCAAGTCAAGCTTTTTAATTTTTTTATTTAACTAATTGTTCATCGAGTACAAGGCGCAAGAGCCACTCAAAGTAGAGTTACCAATTGAGTTTATTGTATGAGTATAAGAAAAGGAGACCAGAAGTACAGTTTATAAGGATATATAGGAAAGATAACATTTCAATCTAGACTTAGAGCTTGATTGTAATGAGTAGGTAAGCATCCTCTTGGGAGTCAGTTCTTGGGAAGAAGCTACCTGAATGGATTTTACTAAAAGAATACTGTGTCATTATGTTTGGGACACCCATGTAGAAGAGGAA